TCTCATCCACTCACCTCAGCCTCCCAAAGGCGTGGGATTACAGGCTGAGCCACCGAGCCCAGCTAATAGGAGACTTTTAATTCAATCTCTTTATATTGTTTACTTAATTTTTTGGCTAAAATGTTACTTCTTGTGCCACAATAAGCATTTTGTGTAATTCAAGAAGCAAAAGTTTGGTAAAAAATTTTTTTATGCATTATTGACGTCCAGGCAAATTAATGGTTCCAGATTATTCTAAGAGATGTTTTCTCAAGAAAAATTAAAGTAGAAATTAACAATAGAAATTAATGAATGAGCATGAAGAAATTAAATCATGGACATGGATTGTAAAGTACTTTTCTGATATGGGACCAAGGTTTGCCAGTCATTATGTTATTAGCATATTTGGGATAATAAGCAGACAGTGTAATTATTTTGGCACATAAGACTACCATGTAGGGACATTAAAAAGAACATCATCAACTTAGAGCAGTTAAAGAGGAATGGAAAAATTGTCTTTCCTCATCTACTGTTAGGCAGATTTGGATGTGGATTCCAGTCTCCCACAGTTATCTATTATATACCTAATGCATTATAGAAGTGGTTCTATAGCTACCTGTCAATCATTCCAGAGTGAGCACAATGATAATATTTTACTGAGCAGAGGGCTTCATTCCAGAATAGAACCCTATTCTTGTGATTTAAATAAGCTTTGGCTTTTGCTGGGGTGGGGTTGCACTCTGAATAATGGAAACGAATCTGAATTATTTTAGCTTATCTCCATTTAAAACAATGCCTAATACAGATAGTGAGTTTAATTTTACCTCTAACCTTGCATGTTAAACTTTTGTTTGGATGGACTTTGAAATAATAAATGTAAATGTTTGTGTATATGCAAGAATACACTTTTCTCCAAAGGTAAGTTCTTCTGTATTATACTTTGGATTCATCCATAATATAGGGCTTTTTTCCTTTTTTTTTTTTTTTGTCTTCAGTTTTTTGTTCTTCCCTTATAATTCTTAAGTATTAAATACTAGATTTATCTAATGCATTGTTTTAAATAAACTGAATTATATGGTAATTTACTTTCCTAACATATTTGAAAGAATGGGCAGTGCTAGCCTCATATGCAGATATGAGTATGGGAATGGTGAGTTTAATTTGTATTCTGACTTTAAGATGGTAGTTACTGGGATCCTATTTCCTGATGTCCATTTTGAAATGTCTGCTGGAATGACTATAATATATGAGCTCCAATTGGGATTAGAACTCAGAATTTGATATTGTATGCAATTGTATAATCCAGGTCATATGATGTTTGTTTTCTGAGGGATCTTAAGTTCCTGCAGGTTTCTGAAACAATGAGTCAGGTTATATTTTGAGGAGGAATGGGGGTAAGGGCTAAGGTATTAGTATTCAGACGAGCTGCTGGGCTGATGTCACAGTGGCTTATTTGTGTCGTGCAGGACCCAGCCTTTGTACACTTTCCCTCAGTGGTTTCCATTTATAGAATGACGTTCATACTTTTTAGCTTGGTCTTTTAGGATTAGGCACTGCCTTTCTTTCTTGTCTCCTCTCCCTTCCCCATACAGTATTTCAAGTCGTGATTCATACATACGCACGTACAAACTTCTCATGTATATAGATTTCTACATAAATGTGTCATCCTTTTCCCTACATCTTGACTTCACATAACTTTTATCTTTCTATAATTTATCTGTAGTCAGTTTTACTATGAAAATATTTCTAATCGTCTCTTAGATAAAGGTAATCACTTTTTTCTTATAATATTTGCAGATTATGTCTGTAACTCTATTTTGTATTATATCAGAGTACCTTATTTTCATGTCTGTCACCCACAATCTATATCATTCCCTGAGGGCAGAAATGTTATGACAAAAGCCAGATCCAAATATAATCTGCAGTGAAGTATGTATAAAATTTTTTTTAAAAACCACTTTTTGATGCTTTTTATAAATGTATGTTTTCAAAATCACCTGAAAATGGTTCTGTAGTGAGATAAAACTAAACATTGCAAAATCATAATTTTTGCCTAAAAAAAGTATTACCCTAGTAGTTAACAGGTATTTTTGCTTTCTACTTAGCCACAGTTTCCTCTGATAAAGGTTAGTTTGGCCACATTTCTCACTTTGCCGTCAAGTCTACTTTCAATTTACAACAACAGGAGTAAAAGAATACTATAGCAGATCTTTAAACGTAGCACTTGGCATAAAATAATTTTTAAATAAAATGCTATATAGGATTGTGTGTTATTTTTCTACTTGAAATATCACTGTCAGTGTATTTTTGGATCTTGAAAGGTCTCTTGCGTTTATGGGTTGGAGTGCACTTTCCACACTTGATTTCAGTATTCTTTAATAAAGCAAAGCATGGCAGTAAAACATTTTACCATTATGTTGTTGAGAATAACAGCTACTTTGTGAAGAATGGGATTTTAGTTAACATTCCAAGCAAATTTGCAGTGTGACTTGAGGGAGCCATAGCATGCTTTTCCTGAAAACTGCATGGGTAACTTCTGTGAAAGTACCCCTCACTCACAGCATGAAAGCCACGCGTTGTCAAGCACTTTTTCTGCACAGTAAAGGATAAGAATTAAGCCATTGATGGCAGCAGAGTTCATACTTCCATAAGACAGGCATCACTAACCAGTTCAGAAGAGAGAATTCATGATAACACATTCCCTGCCCTGGAGGACTTTCTTAAATCAACTCTCTAATGAAGGAAGGAGTCAAGGATGTACTAGTGCCAGGTAACAGGGACATCATTAGCCTTGTAGAGCAAAGCTTTCATTTTTATATAAGCCATTATTAACTAATGCCTTTAATACAGTTGTGCTATCTGGACAGATAAAATAGAAGTGACTTTCAAAAATGACTGTAACTTTCGATCTTGATTTGTAAAACAATACATGATTTTAGTAATAATTTTTCTCTTTTTCTTTTTAGGGTGAAAATCCTATTTATAAGAGTGCCGTGACAACTGTGGTCAATCCGAAGTATGAGGGAAAATGAGTACTACCTGTGCAGATTTCACAACACTGAATGCAAAGTAGCAGTTTTCATAGTCACAGTTAGGTAGCTTTAGGGCAATATTGCCATGGTTTTACTCATGGGCAAGTTTTAAAATGTACAGTATGTATAATTTTTAAAATTTTTTATTATTTTGAAGATAATGTTATAATCCGTGCCAGGGACTGACAAAAGACTTGAGACAGGATACTTATCCTTGTCAGCTAAGGTCACATTGTGCCTTTTTGACCTTTTCTTCCTGGACTATTGAAATCATGCTCTTATTGGGTCAAGTGATATTTCTACAGTGGTTGAAAGGGCAATAGTAATGCGCATGATGACAGTTTCTATTAATCATATATCAAAACTGATTTTTAGCTTTACAGATACATCAGTTTTCAGTTATGCGGAATCCAAAGTAAAATGTCCTGCTAGCTAGTTGAAAATTGTTTGAAATCTATTATTTTGCTGTTCGCTTGTTAGACATGACTGATGACATATTGAAAGACAAACATGTTGAGAGTTACTGGTGTAAAATAGTTTTGAAATACATACAAAGAGTTGATCTACAAAGGCCATGGGAAAAATTCAGAGTTAGGAAGAGAAACCAAATAGCTTTAAAAACCTGTGTGCCATTTTAAGAGTTACTTAATCTTTGGTAACTTTTATGCCTTCTCTTTATAAATTCAAGCCTTACATAAAAGTACTGGGAAATTTTCTGCTAAAAAGTCCTTGGTTTAGCACTATTTACATAAAGGCCATAACTTACAAAGTATTTGCTGAATGGGGACCTGTTGAATTGAACTTATTTTTATTGTATTATTTTTATTTTGTTTAATGCCTGGTGCTTTTTATCACATCTTCTAATCTTTGTATTTGTTTGCAATTTTGGGGTAAGACTTTTTTATCAGTACTTTTTCTTTGGAGTTTTGGTTGTAAATTTGCCTTTTTAATGAACATGTGAAGTTGTACTGTGGCTTATGTAACAGCTGTCCCTTACGCAAGTCTTACTTTCATTTAGTGCCATAACAGACCACTGTATATTGACTTCTTACTGTTTGAGTTGCCCGTCTTGTTTCATACTAGTCACATTCTTGTTTTAAGTGCCTTTTAATTTTAACAGTTCACTTTTTACAATGCTATTTACTGAAGTTATTTATTAAATAAAAATGCCTGAAATACTTAAGTTGGATGTTTGGCTCTATATTGATATGTTTTGTCAGTATATATGCATAAGGTTTTTATAGGTTAAAGAAGTTGGGGAAAACATTTCTGATTGATGGAAATTTTACTTAAGGAGCTAAAACACAATTCTTTGAAAAAAATATACTAGAGACATAAAGCAAGCAGTATGGAAAAATACGGACTTTAAGACTATCTTTGCACTCCGTAAATAATACTGGACAGATTCTTAATCCCCTGTGCTGGGAGAGAGAGGTTTCTTCACTGTATTACGCAGAATTAACTTAATGAATATTATCTTAAGTCATTACTAGAAGGTGGATTATATCATTTTATTTAAGATATAGATAGAGCATTGTTACTTGCCTAAGAAAAAATTTTTTCATTTGGCTTTGGTTTATGTATTTTTGAAAGTATACATTCATAAATAATATTTATGTAAAGCTTATTAAAAGAACTGTATAGTTCTTTCTTGAGCATGCAACAAATGTCAGAAAAACTTGGGGGAGAACACTGTATTAAAAGTTTCAACCTCACCAGCCTCTCAGATTTACAATATCCTCTCACATCCTTGCTAACTGGTACTCTTTTTACTTAATCCACTTAAATGGGTTTCCTAGCTTAGATTTAGATGCTTTAAGCATCTCTGAGGTGAGAATTTTAAAAATTTTTAGCATAGCATATTGGCACACACCTGTACTCACAGCTGCTCAGGAGGCAGGACAATCACTTGAGCCCAGGAGTTTGAGCTGTGGTTTCACCATTGCACTCCAGACTAGATGACAAAGTGAAACTGTCTCTGAAAAAAGTAAAAAGAAAAAAAGGAATCCTATATTTATACTAGTTTGTGAGCTCCATGAGAAACTATAAGGTCCTCGTGTGTTTATTTACTCCATGTCACCCTGTTTCATCTTGTTTGCCACCATCTGCCCACCCACTTGGCTTAACTCATTTCCTTATGCCTTAGGCATAATTGATAAAATTGAATTATATATTTCTACCCAGAACTCTGTTCTTATAAAGAGGTTTTTAAATAAATAATAAAGTAATGAAGTCGATCTTCTATATATGCATGATGTTTTTCCTGACATACGTCCTTAAGGCTAACATATGGTGAATTTTTAGATTTTTGTATTGCAATGTATTAGACAAAAAATTTTCTGACTATAGAAATCTGTTTTTTGGAAGCTGGAGGAATTGTTTAGAGTTTATTTCTCATGCTGACTGTAAGATCATTGACATTTGAATAATTTTAGGCTTGAAACTAACTATTTCAAAATACAGTCTGACAGATGGATCATTATATGTCAGTATATCACATTGACATGCATTGATTGAATCCACATTGGAGATGGTCACTAAAATATTTCATATTTTCCTAGCAACAGTACATTTTGATCTCCAGTGAAACACTTCAAAAGCAAGAATCCTAAAAATGAAATAAGTTAAAATTTTTCCTGTCTAAACTATATTCTAAAAATTTACAATATATTTAGTATTATTAATATATTATTTGGTCAGTGCCATATGTTAATAGTAGCATATTTTGCAGCAATTCCTGATATTTTACATTGTCTTACTCTTTTGCAAAGTATTACTTTATGACTTTCCTTGATACAGATCCTCAGATAAGACCTGAGCCACATAAACAGTTTATAATACCACTTTTTAAAAAATCGCACACTGTCAACTTTTTATTTCAACCTGGAATCAACATTTTTCCTCTCTGTTACCTGCTAGAGTTTGAGAGAGACGCTTGAATGGAGACCAATAGTCTTTTTTTTTTTCCTATTTCCTTGAAGGTTTAGATATTTCTGACCTTATATACTTAAAGAAGCTCAGAAACAGAATGAGTATCTCCAGGATTTTTTGAGTCTGTAAAGATACTTCACTGACATTTTAGAATCTCTCTCATGTCCCAATATTCTTCTGAGAATTTAGGGGTAGGTGGATGTGGCTTTAGAGTGATCAGTGGGAGCAAATTTTCAAGACTCCACTGCTGTGAGGGTGATGTATCATCTAATCTAGAACCTTTGGGGAACAGAAATGCTATGAGAAAGTGTGAGACAAATATTACTATCAAGTTCACTGATAATGGCAATTCTTACATTCATTTTCTTCTGTAATCTAAATCTTCACTGTTTTAACTATATTAAGATTTATATGAAAATTTTAAGGCTTGAAAGTTCCCATAAAAAGCCAATAGTGATAATTTTATTTGACTTTCATTCTACTACTTATTCTAGGTTTATGGTCTTATTAGGACTAATTCTAAAACAGACGCATATAAACAAGTAGCTTATGGATCACTTTGTAAATGGAAACTATTCAGGAGATTGAAATCCCATAATTTAATCCATTGCTTAATTTAAGTTTACAGAAGAAGTGGTTGTCTATTTTTTTGCGCAGTAGTCAATATATTATGGACTTTACATATTGATAACAATATTATATTAAGTTTACCTACTGACAAAAATTATCCCTGGAATATCAGTATTCAGTGTCCTGCAATAGCCAACTGACTGGCCCCTTAGCAGCCATGAGGACAGGAACCTGTGTATTTTGATTTACCATTATATCATTAGAACAATGTCTGGCACAGAGTAAGGTAGGTGAACAATAAGTATTTGTTGACTAGGTTGATTTTTTCCCCATAATTTACTATCAGCATCTACAATGATACACTGACCTTCCTGCCAGTTCCTGTAGATGAACTCTGCATTCCAAGGTCAATTCTTCCACGTGTTTACTGATGACATCTCCTCTTGCCTACTAATAATGCAGTTCTCTCCTGCATTATTAATTTTCACCTCTCTTCTGGAGCATTCCTGTCAGTGACAAACACGCTGTAGTTGCATCTCTTTATTTCTTCCCTTTTACAACTCAGGAGAGTTGTCTTATCCATATACCTGTGACCGATTGATTTTGGACAAAGGTGCCAAATCCATTCAATGGGGAAAGAAAAATGTCTTAAGCCAGTTAACTGGATTTCTACAAGCAAAATAATAATGCCTCACACCATATACAAAAATTAAATTATGAGAGCTAAAACCGTAAGACTTTTAGAAGAAATGTAAGGGCATATCTTCATGAACATTTGGGCATCAGAGGACATTAATCAAGAAAGTGACAAGGCAACCTAAACAATGGAAGAAAATATAAGTTACGTATCTCATTAAGACAAATGACCCAATTGGTACACACATGACCAACAAGCACCTGAAATAAAATCATTAGCATTTGGGGAAATACAAAATAAAACCACAATAGGATATCCCTTCACACTAGGATGACTATAATTTTTTGTTTTTATGGGGAGTCTCATTCTTGCCCAGGCTGGAGTGCAGTGGCACACTCACGGCCACCCCAGTGTTGACCTGCTGGGCTCCGGTGACCCTTCCGCCTCAGCCTTCCACGTAACCGAAACTACAGGCATGCGCTACCATGACCAACTAATTTTTGATTTATTGTAGAAACGAGGGCTTGCCAAGTTGCCTGGACTGGTCTCAAACCTACAGGCCACTTGTGTGTGTGTGTGTGTGTGTGTGTGTGTGTGTGTGTAGTTTTTTTGTTGTTTTTTGGGGTTTTTTTATTGAGTCAGCGTCTTACTCTGTCACTCAGGCTGGAGTGCAGTGGTGTGATTTCAACTCCTGGGCTAAGCGATCTTCCTCAGTAGCTGGGACTGAGTAGCCTCCTGAGTAGCTGGGACTACAGGTGTGCACTACCATGCCTGGCTTTTTTTATTTTTGTAGCGGTGAAGTTTCACTATGTTGCCTAAGCTGGTCTCAAACTACTGTGCTCAAGCAATCCCCCCGCCTTAGCCTCCCAAAGTGCTGAGATGATAGGTGTGAGCCACTGCACCTAGCCAGTTTTTTTATAAAGTGAAAAATAAGTGTTAACAAAGATTAAGAGAAACTGGAAGCCTCATACATTTTTAGTTGTGCAGGCATTATGAAAAATAGTTTGGCAGTTCCTCAAAGAGCCAGACATCTAACTACCATATGACTCAGCAATTCTACTTTTAGGTGTATATCCTAAAGCATTGAAAGTAGAGACTTGGATAGATACTTATATGCCAATATTCATTGCAGTATTATTCACAATAGCCATAAGGTGGCAGTATCTCAACTGTCCATTGATAAATGGATAAACATAAGTGGTATATACAGACAATGGAAGATTATTTAGCCAAAAAAGAAATGAAGTTTGGGCGCAGTGGCTCAAGCTGGAATCCCAACACTTTGGGAGACCGAGGTGATAGGATTGCCTAAGCCCACGGGTTCAAGATCTGCCTGGGCAACTTGGCGAGACCTCATCTCTAAAACAAATCAAAAAATTAGCTGTGTGGTAGCGTGCACATGTAGTTTCGGCTACTTGGAAGGCTGAGGCAGAAAGATTGCCTGAGCTCAGCAGGTCCATGCTGGGGTGGCCATAAGCATGCCACTGTACTCCAGCCTGGGCGATGGAGTGAGATTCCAACTAAAAAAAAAAGAAAGAAAAAATAGGAATTAACTTCTGATACATGCTACAATGTGGAGACATTATGCTAAGTGAAAAAAAACCAGACACAAAAAGACAAATATTGTATGATTCCACTTATTGAAATATCTTGAATAGGAAAATTCATCCAGACAGAAAGTAGACTAGAGACTCTTAGGGACTTGGGGGAATGGAAGTGGGGAGCTATCACTAATGGTTACAGAGTTTTGTACGGGCTGACGAAAAACTTTGGAAACAGATAGTGGCAATGGTTGCCTAACATGAATGTAATTAATGCCACTGAAGTGCGCACTTTAAAATGACTGAAGTGCCAATAATAACAACAAAAAGATGTAAGAAAATAAAAAGGCAAGCCACAGTCTGGGGAAAATATTTGCAAAGCATATATCTGATAAAAGACTTTTATCCAGAACACATAAAGATCACTTGGGAAAGAAAAAAGATTTAAACTGGGCAAAAGATTTGAACAGATATTTTGTCAAAAAATATGGATGGCAAAGGAAAAAAAAA